TGTGCAAACATACTACTGGTTGTGCTAGAATGGCTCTGGAACCAACTATATCCTATCATAAAGAATATGCCTTCACATACACATTCTTTAGCTCCACCTTAGGGTCACTGGATCAAAATCTTTTGGAGGTAGAACTCAATAATATGCTTTTTTCATTAGCATGCCAGATGCTATTCAGAATAATAAAATTTAAGAACTACTGTATTATGGAATAGATAATTTAAAACAAATTCAGTCTCATAAATTTGTAAGCTATTCCACTGATAGTAGTAATTATCATACATACAACTTTAATTAATATATTTACATGATATACATAAATGCATATTATGCTATATCTAATACATAAAGTTTATACATAGCTGAAGTTCTTCAAACAGCAGAATTATTGTTTTTTAAAAAGTAACACAGTTTTAGAAGCAAATGTAAAAAACAAAAGTCTAACTGATTACTATCAAACACACATTTTTTGACAATCCAAGAAAACACTCCACCACTTAATTAAAAATAAACCTTTCGAAACATACTTGCTTTCCAGTTGGTTTGTAGTGTTGCTGACAGCATCTCTCAGTATACCATTTTCCTGCTTCAAGTGTGCTATCTCTGCTTCCATCTGCTCACGAACTTGCTGAAACTAATTATTTTAAACATATTAAGATTTTTTAAAAAACATAAAAAGAACTTTTTTAAAACATATTCTATTGTGATGATAATATAAAATGTATCAATAATGAAATCGAAATCATTCTTTTCAAAAGAACATATTTAAAGGAAAAACTATTATTTCTTACTGATATATGCAAAGCAGAAGCTGCTATAGTATTTAAGAATACAAGCAGATGTTAGTTAATATATTTGAAATACAAAATAAAACATAGTTCAAAACGAATGACTTAAAAATTCTTTCCTACCCAATGGATTCATATAGAAATAAGCCTGCCCTCTCTTAGAATATGTCAATTTTACATTTGCTATATTTTTTAAGTATTTAATAACCTAAAGTTTAAAACTGGAAAATTCAAAAATATTGTTACAAACTGAGCCATAATTGAATAGATAACACAAAAATCTACTTGCTAAAATATTCTGATCCCTACTTATTCTTATTGTGGTAAATATAAAATGTACTATATCTTAACCATTTCAAATGCAAAGTTCAATGGTATTAAATATATCCATTCTATTAGGCAACCATCACTACCATTCATCTTTGTAACTCTTTTAAAACAAAGCTCTATGCCTATTAACCAATAACTCCTCATTAATCCCTCTCCATGGCTACCATTACTGTACCTTTTTTCTGGTATCTAATTTTTCAATTTCAGAATTTTAGAGTAAGGAGATAAAGAACATTGACTCAAATATTCCCATGTCTTAATTTAGTGTGAAAATATTCTTTAATAAAAATAGTTGCTGATAATTTTATTAGTAATTCGGTTAAAAGAAACTAATGTAGGTATTTATATATTTCAGAACCTATATGGAATCTATATCCTGACCTCTAGAAGTAATTAAGTAAAAAATGATGAACCGCTTACACATCTTCCACCTTCAATAAAAGACACTGCTTCAAATATCTGGTTAACTTTCAAACAAATAGTAAATAGGAATTAAGAAAAGATCACCTAAGGTTAGGAAAATTAGTTCTTTGATAACCTCACTGATAGGGAACAGGAAGTTAAAAAGAGTAGACCAAATAAAAGCTAGACACAATAGACAATAACAATCTCACAACAGTCTCACTCATTTTTGTTTTCAGTGACATTTTGCTGGGAAACAGTTTTAACTTTGACAGCAGTGAAGAATATTTTTTAATTAGCCTATTATAGTTATACATATTACTGGAGTTCATTCTGACATAATCATACAAGCACTGAATATAATTTGTTCCACTTCAGTCGGAAGTACTTCCCCTTTCCCTTCCCTTCTCCATTGTCTTGCTCTACTGGTCGTCCTTCTATTTATTTATTTTTTTTAATATTAGTGCTTTATAGATATATGTATAAGCAAAATTCACTGTGATTTATTCATATATGTATGCAGCATTCCTCACCATTCCTCACTTTTCCCATCCCTCCATCCTCCCCCTCAATTGCTTTCACATTTGATTCCCTTACCAGACCCTCTTTTTTTTTCCCCTCCTCTCCTTATTTTGTTCTAGCTTCCACAAATGAGAGAGAATATTATCTGGCCCTTGACATAGTGAGTCTGGCTTATTTCACATAGTGTGATCTTCTCCACTTCTATCCATTAACCAGCAAATGCCATTATGTCATTCTTCTTTATGCTTGATTTAAACTCCATTGTGTATATAAACCACATTCTCTTCATCCATTCATCTGTTTACCAGCACCTGGGCTGGTTCCATAACTTTGCTATTTTGAGTTGCACAGCTATAAATACCAGTACATCTACATCACTATAGAATGCTGATTTTAGTTCTTATAAAACAAGAGTACCACAAATAAAGTCTCTTTAAGATTCAGACAATTGGGCTGGGGTTCTGGCTCAGCAGCAGAGCACTTGCCTAGCATGTGTGAGGCCCTGGGTTCGGTCCTCAGCACCACATAAAAATAAATAAGTAAAATAAAGATATTGTGTCCAACTACAACTAAAAAATAAATATTAAAGAAAAAAGATTCAGACAATTTTGTAGACTGGAAAAAAGAAGCCAAAGGATTCAAACATAAAGAAAATAATGCTTTAAACTGGAAAACAAAACCAACCTGATAAATAAACAAGAATTTGACTTCAGACATATTAAATCTGGGATGAATATGTTGTGGTGTAAAATAATCAATAAAATCAGTAAGAGTGTAAGTTATAGATTATAGATTAGTAAAAAATATAAATTATAGACATAAGATTTTGTTAAGTGACATAAGACAATTATAAAGCAAGATCTGTGACAGGCCTAAGACTCCATTTTGCTGCCTTCTATAAAAAAAAAAATAATAATATAAACTGTTGCATGCCCAATTTCTGAGAAACAGAAACAATAGCTGTTTTTCTTATTAAAAAATTGTTTTCTGTACTTTGTACCCCACAGAATGTACCCAGCTCAGGATATGGTGGTGGTCGTGGTGGGCTACATCCTGGGTTTCAGTACATTTATGGGTTTACATGACTTTGAAATAGATTATCCAACTCACCCCACCAGCTGAAACTCACAATATGGTTGTCTAACACTTGCTAGGACCTAAGATGCAGTTAAGCTAACTGCTTTTTTTAGTTTCTGTGATTGGCTTACTTGCATGACACTGAGAAAAGCCCCTAAGCTGTGGTTTTTGTCCTTAAATTGCCATGACACAGGCCAGGAAATTGCTGTTCTCCCACAGAGCTTCAGTCTCCTATGGGTAGGTGACAGTCCTTGGCCAGGTAAATAAAGCTCTCTTTTGAATTCAGACTTTTCTGAAGCAGTTCCTAAAAACAGATAGACCCTCTGAATTGAAGCCTCAGTCAGCAAATGGAAATAACAATTTCAGAAAGTCACTGGCTCAGAGCATTCAACTAAGCCACCTCACAAGCAGAGCCAAGGCATGCTCTTCAATGTCTATCAGTAAGTTGGGTGAGAGTAGAAGACAGAATAATCCACTCATCAAGACCTAACTAGAATCAGGCTAATGAATGATATATGGAAAAGAAAACATGGTAAAAACTAAACTTTCATGAAAAATGACAAAAGATAGGTCAAAGAGTATGGGCTAACACAAGAGACAAAAGGTCACCTATGCCAGAACTTTGGGAGTCATCATTCATTATCCTCTCTCTCCTCCACTCCAACACTAAACCCCATCTAACAAACTTCTGTTTTACTCAAACTCATCTCCTCACTGTCGACATCTGATTTCAGGCCTTGTTTTCACTGACTTGAGTTTCAGGAAAAGTTTTCTAACTACCTCTTGTTCTATTCTGCATGATGCTGCCCAAGTCATGTTAGAAATACTGACAGATCATACTGCTGGCTTGCTTAAACTCCTCCACTGGCTCCCCAGCTTTCAGACACATGAGGCCCTTTTAGATGGTGTCCCTGCCTAATATCTTTAGATCTTTGCTTCTTCATTGCAACCCTGATTCCCAATTACAACTCTTACTACATTTCTCACAAAGTGCTAGGGCTAGACAATCTGCATTAGAAACACTGGAGTGCACTCATTGAAAAGCTCAATTCTCTGCCCCAAAATAGACCCACTGAGCCCACTAGAGATGGGAACAAAGAATATCACCCAGTAATTCTTGTACCTAGTGCTCATTTCTTCACTCTCCTATAGAATAAGAATAGTCAATGGTCAGCAATCAGAAATGATTGGCCCCAACTGAGGTCTTGTTCAAATGCAGAAACCATATCTAACCCATAGAAATATTAATGGGTGCTATTAAGACCTATTTCAAGTGTAACAGACCTTGAGGCTCACGTAGGAGCAACTCCTTTGTCCCTGAGGTGGAAACAAAGGTGGGAAAATGGGAGGTGAGGGTAAACCTAGAAAGAATAGGAAGGATTAATACTCAAAGGTCTTGATGCTATTTTCAATGCTTGTTTTACATAGATTTTGATCAATGATTTGGGGGCTGTTTGCAATGCCTGTTTAGCATAGATTCTGCTCCATACTCTACCCAGTTTACATAAATGCTAGCACCCCAAAATGGGGTTTTCTGCTATCAGACCCCCTCCTCCATGGTGGGAGTTCTTTCTCTTACTGCTCCATTTACTTTCTTTCCATGATTGTCTGTGGATTTTATTCTTCAAATTTGCAAGAGAAGAACACAGAAGGAAACTGGCCAAGTGAGGAATCTAGTCCCATCTCAAAAACTCCTGTTTCAGTTTTGATGCCTACTGATTCAAAACATTCAACATAGGATTAGGGATATAGCTCAGTGGTAGAATCTTTGCCTAGCATGCACAGGGACCCAAGTTCAATCCTCAGGAATTGGGGATTGGCAGGTAATGGAACTCTGGATTCACACATAACAACCCTACCCTGTCAGTCCTCTTTCGTACTTCCCATCTCCATTACTCCAAAGTACATAATGCTTACCTCTAGTCATGGTGAATTTATTTGCTTACTTTTCCAGCCTCCCTTCCTCAATCCCACTCAGAAAATTAAGGACAAGGAGTGGGTTTAACCACTGTACGTAGATGGCCCAACATATTTATATAGAAGGCACTTAAAAACTTGCTAAATAAATGAATGCATACAATTCATCTCATTCTTTTTTTTTAGACTTCTCTTGTTGTTGTTATAAATGGATCTTTTCATTTACTTATTTATATGAAGTGCTGAGGATCAAATCCAGGGCCTCACATATGCCAGGCAAGTGCTCTCTTACTGAGTCACAACTCCAGCCCCTCATCTTATTTTCAAAGAATGAAACTATACCTTCATCTGCATCTGTTGAGTCTCTTGATAACTGACATGCATTTTGTTCTGAAATACATTATGTTCCTTTTCTAATGTTCCAATCCGATCTTTCATCCTTGCTATAACTACGTTGCTTCTTTCTTTCTCTGTCATCATTTCCTAGAATAAATCAAAAAAGAAATTGTTAAAAAGGAATTATAAGACTATAATAAAAAGAAAACAAGTTTAAAGACCATGAATCTAAAATAATTCCTGCACTCTAATCTGATTATAAGGAAAAACAGTTATTTGCAAGTACCAGTTCTCTTTTAGGATACAGGAAAAGGCCAAGTTTGGGGGGGTGGGGGGAGCAAGCTCTACAACAGTTAAAAAAGAAGTCTCTCTCCCAGAGGAGGAAAGAAGGGCATGTCCATATGGTAGAACAGAAATGTGAAATAGGAGTCAGGAATTTTATCATCCTTCCAAATCAAATTTTAAAAAGGTGATTTCACTGTTTATAAAATTGGTGTTTAAGCAGGTGTTTCCACCCATGTTTTTATTTACTTCAAAAATCACATTAAGGATTTACATTCAAATAAGGCCATTCTTTCCTTTGATGTTGTCAAGTAGCTAGGTTAACAGGGTCATAAACAAGCTCATTTACTCTTTTGCATTTAGTAACCGAAGGAGATACAAGCACTTCAGAAGGATAAGGATCTACTTTTCTCTTCGAGTTTAAATTCTGTTCTCAGTCTACATTTAATTTTAAAGGTTTGTTTTGCTTTCTTTTTCCTCTCAGATTAAAATCTGAAGAACATGATTAAAAATTATAGAAATTTATCACAACCACCTCCAAAAGTAAATCACCTATATAAAAGCTTCATATTTCCCCCACAAATTGGATTTTTATAAAGATCAAGTTTCTTGCCTTTACAGAGAATAGACCTAGGTCAGATCGAATTAAAACAAATTCCCATTCTTCTGAACAGAATACTGCTGCTATTCTAAAACTAGAATATCCAATACTGTTATTTTAAATTAATAATTCAACTATAGGTTATATCATAAAAGAGTGAAGACACCTCTTTTCCAAAACTCTAAAAGAAGATTGGGGGGGGGGGCAATACATTTATTACACAAATAATTAAATCAGGAAGTATAGACAATTTTTAAACCTTCCATTGCTTCTGATTCAAGAAGTACATCCCTTGAACATAAGAATGTCTTCACCTGGGTTAACTGCTTACACCGATCCTTTGTAGCAGCAGCATCTTCTTTTATAGCAGCAAGCAACTTGTCCTTTTCCTGGAGCTGATGCAGAAGTGCAGCCAATTCTCCTTTACTTGACTACAATTGAGAAATCAATACAAAATGAGTAATAGTGAACATGGACTGGTGAAGTACGTGAAAATGAAGTATGTGATATCAAGTGTTCTTCAGCCAATAAAGAGTTCTATATATTACATATATATAACTGGTCAGTGAAATAAAATTCAGAAAAGTCACCGTAACATTATATATCCTCAATATTTCAGCAGGTATGTACCAATGAAGAAACAAATTTTTACAAAGAATTATAGAGCTTCTAGTTTTAAACCTTGAGTCAAAAATAGCAATATCCCATCATTTTCTTTCTAGAAGATCAAAAGAGATTAGGAAAACAAAATGCTATCTACTACCAATGAAACAGTCATCTGTAATCTCAAAACATAATACCAGGAAAGACTGACAAAAATAGTGAAGGTCAAACACAGATGCTTAACAACCCAGTCTAAATACGCCCAAGGCTACTGAGGTACCTAGTTCTCTCAATTTAACAGGCATATCCAGAAAGGTTAAAAACAATAATCGGGCATTTGACATGAGAAACAAGCGAAAAGTTTCAAGGCAGGAACTTTCTTATAAGGCAGTCTCAAGAAAGAAAAATGAAGAAGAAATCACACAAACTTTACTAAAGACAGCTGACAGCCAGTGAGGAAGAATGGAAAGTGACTCTACAGTAAGACCCAAAGCCTGTGTCTAGGAAGAAAGCGGGACTTATTTGTACATACAGCTCAAAGGAGAACACCAACTAGTTTTTACTGTTTACAACTATCAATATCCAACAGAGAGAAGATCCAAGGAGAGCATCTCTCCTAGAAAAGGAGTACTAGTGAGCAGAGCTTACAAAAAGGAGCTCAGAGAAAAGAATAAAATCACAAAATGAGATGGAACAAAGCTGGTAAAACTTACAGTGGAAGTAACAACATCCAAGCAATCATTAAATTAAAACAACAAACAGAAATAGACATTCCATTGAAAATATTAATGGTCAAAGATAATATGGTGTTTTATTTTTTTAAAAGAACTAAAACAAGTAAAGGAGACCATGTGCTTAACTGACACAAATGATTTCAGTTATTTCAGTAACATAGAAATCTTCCTAGTAATAATGGCTGGCTTGAATTTAATGACTGGAAAGGTAAGCTGGACTGGAGAGAAAAATGACAGATGGGTCCATGTCAATACATATTATAGTAAAATTACTGATTCAAAGAAACTGAATCCTCTGATGTTTATACAGCACAGCAGTGAGGAAGTCCAATAAACAAATGCTGTTTATTACCCAAAGAATGTTTTTATTTTACAAGTGCAGTTTGACAAAAATACATGAAAAGATCCCAAAATTCAGGGCAGCCTCAGATCTATACCTGGAAATATGAATATAGAAAACAGTAAAATAACAAATCCATTAAAAATTTTCAAAATAGTGAAATCCAGGAATGTTATACCCCACCCAAACTATCATTCAAACACAAAGACAACAAAGAATCATCTTAACTTGATAAAATTTTGGATATGCAGTTGCCATGAGTCCTTTTTAAAGAAACTCCAGAAAAAACAATTTTATCCAATCTAGAGAAGAATAAAGAAGGTATAACAAAATAACTGGTATTTTTAGCTATCATTTATCTACAGAATTAAGACTAAAAAAAGCATGGAAATTATAATCACAGAGTAGATGTTAAACATTATTAAGTATCCAACAAATGGAAATGCTATAATAATTAACAAAAATTGAGAAGGAAAGACAAGAGAATTTTAGGGAAAAATTAGTATACAGAAGTACCTTCTGTTATACAGCATGGGGCCAAATCTCTGTTAATAGTTTAAAGTTAAAAATTCATATAATTGAAGCAAGTATAATTAAATATCAATGCTGAAAATAATAATCAAATTTTCCTTACTAGTAATCACATTAACAATTTTTGAGCAGTTACTATATGCTAGAAACAAGCACCTAATGTGCATTACCTCATTTAATTCCAAAAGCCTGATTATCATTACCATTTTAGAGATGAGGAAATAGAGGCATTAACTTATCCAAAATCATAAAGTCCAAAGTGACAGAGTCCAGATTTGAATTCAAGAAAACTTTACTCCATAGCCCAGGATCTTAACCTACACTGTACATGTAAAATTTAAGTGTACTGCAACATAAACACAAGGACACATGTCACACATAAATATTATCTTCTCTCCAATTCTGCAACCCTTCTATCTAGTTTTTACTCTGCTTTTCCTTTCTCATCTAAGGCTACTAAGAGTAAACACACTGTCATCTTTCCCATTCATTTGTCAGTTACATAGTCTAAGATGAAAACACTTTCCCTAAGGATATCAAACCCAGTTTTTCAATCTTTATCTTCTTTGGTTTCTCTAAAGCTTGTCACTCTCACCCTGAACTCTCTTATTCTCCCTAAGCTTCTGAGATTCCACCATCTCAGAAGTGTTTCTCCCACTCCTCCTCTTCAGTATTCTTTGTTGTGACTTCTCTTGCCCTTTAAACACCAGTGTTTCTCAGGGTTTCTTCTTCAGCTTTCATCACTTCCGCCATCCATGTGTACAACTAGTAGTAGTGAATTGTTTCAAATCACTCCCACTGCAATCTTTCTTCAACTTCAGAAAAATAGATACTTAGTTATGAAATAATTGTGTCCACCTAAATGGCACACGGAATGCCTAACAACTTTCTAAAATTCCACAATCCTTAACTCTCTCTTCCTCTATAAACTACTCACAAACGCCACTGTTGCCACATGTATTCCATTATCCAAATAAGAAAACAGTCATCAACCCTACATTCATCACTGCAAGACATCTAACTTCCATCTGTTATATGCCTGTGCCTCTACATTCATCACTGCAAGTCCTCTAACTTCCTTCTGTTCTATGCCTTACCATTCCCTTTGCTCTGAACTGCTCTCAATTACGTGTAAAGATCCATTTACCTCTAGGACTCTGAAATCTTAAAAATTCTGACCCAACTTAGCTTCCATGATAGGAAAAGGGAGAAATTAAACTTACCTAGACTTTCTCAAATATAGAAGGCCTATAAGAGCAGAGAACAGTAGAGAACAAAACCACCTTCTAAGAAACCAAGCAAGATTTTAATCTAAGGCCAAACAGCTCCAAAGAAGAAGAGATAATGTGAACACTTCAAAACACCTTCCCTATATTAAATGCTGACTTTCACAAACTTCTTTCTAGACCTACCAAAAATATAAAATCAAGGGTATATTGATTTATCATTCAATCTTTAGAGTTCAAAGCTGTCTCAGACAATAAAATAACTACTCTTATGCCCATAAGTCACAAGCAACATCATTAATCAAAAGAGAAACTCTTAAAGCACTGTTTTTAATTTTAAACAGCTAGGGAATAATGTAATAACTTAACCTGGAAGCTTTCTACTGCTAAAAGCTTCTCCCAATCCCCACAAATAACTAAGAACTCTTCAGATAGGTACTTACCAATTACAATACAGTATATCAAAGAACAAATTCTTCAGTCAAGAATATCAAGAAAGTTCTTCA